CCCGAAACGTCAGCCTCTCTGCTCCTATGATGCTGCTTGGCCTGCTGTGTTCATCCAGCCCTGCACCTTGTTGTCTCGGATTCTCCAGCATCTGCAGTTCCTACTATCTCTGCAAGGTTATATCTTTCTTTCTGCCAATGTTGGATGCACAACAATGACCACTGTCTGTTCACCTTCGTCTTCAGGGTGCTAATTCATGTAACATGTTGTAAATGTCTCATGCATTTAGATAAAGTGTCTTTAGCTTTGAAATTTTCTCATACTCCCTCATGCCAACTGGTCAATAACATTTGTTATTCTTAATTCTCTCTTCCCGGCCCATTGCTTATTTTCACCCAAAATGTACAACCTTGACATTTCCCTTGCAGCTTTTGAATTTCAAAATAAGATGAGTTTGAAATAATTTCACAGGATGAAGACAGATATTTGACTTAATAATTGTTTTTTTCTCCTTCAAGCTCTTTATGGAGTTCTATTTCTGAACAACAAAGAAGCAGCATTTGCTAACTACCGACTGTGGGAATCTGTGGGATTTGTTACAGCATTTGCTTATGCAAACTTCTTGTGTATAAAAGTCAAACTCATTATCTTGGTGGTAGTCCTGTTATTAGGCATGATAATGTATGGAATTGTAGAATATATTGAATATGTTCAGCATGGCAGTGAAAATCCTCACACAATTTCACAAATTTTACGTGGCGAGCATCTAAAAACAAAAAAAGAGAAGCCAGATGAACTGGAAGAGGAAGGGAAAGAAGAAACAGAAACCACTGATGTAAAATCTGTTGATGAAAATGATGCTGAAACCTAAAACAAAACTTTTGAGGCAGTTATATGAGCAGCATTCTGTTTGGTGCTTCAGCATCTACATTCTTCTAAAATCAACTGCACACTTTAAAATATTGCTATTTTATAATTCACTTCAACATAATTTTCTAAACATTGTATTAAATTTATAATGACCAAGATTGTATTCTATAATATTATATATTTAACAGAATTACTGTAACATTAGTAACATCTGATCTGTAACATTAGTAGATCCCTGAATTGGCATAAAATATAGACGTTAGTTCATAGGATATTTAAGCTGTTTTTTGAAACTCTTATCTAGTTCAGTAATGTAAGTAAATGCGTTGAGGAAAATGTCAAATCCCTAAGTCACAAAAACATTTGCAGCAACTTGTACTGCAACAACCCATTCAGGATCTTTAAATAACTATCACTTTTGACGCATAAACACAGCTTGTTGAATATCCTGTTAGTACTTTTACCTTGGAGGTTAGTCTACAAATTCCTATTATCATGCTCATGGCGATGGCAGTGCTTGTAACCTGAAATAAATTTCTCCAATTCTTGTTTAAATGGTAATACTATTTTCTTCTGTATCAAAAACAAGCTCTTATGCTAAACCCTAAACAAAAATTTGTCCTAAGGGTGAGAGTAAATTTACTGGTATATTTGATTAAAGGCACACGTGTTAATTTGTGCACTGTTTAATACCTGGAGAAGGGACAAGATTACTAAAAACCAAAACTGAAAGGGTAGTTTTGACAGAATGCTTTGAGGTTGGAAAAATGATAGCAAAACTAGATGTAAATTCTACACGTGATTGCAAAATGGCTGAAATTTCTACCATGGATCGCAGAATGGAGTGCACACAGCACATGGGTTTGAAGAAGGATGCATAGCTAGGAAAAAGCAATTCCAAGTACAGATTTGAAAATCAGGATGTGTATTTTAAACTCAAGACAGAGTTCATTAAGTATTTGGGTAAGTAAGTACACTGTGAGTTGCAGGTTCTAGCTAGATTGAAATTTATGTAAAAAACCCTTGCTTAAATAGCAGGTGCAGAGGTTTGTGGAAATAACAGGTATGGATCAATTTCAGAGCTAAAAGAGGAATGTTTCTATTGTTGAATTCTGGTGTTTTATCATTATTTAAGAAGTTTACACCGACAAGGACATAACCAACTATCACAGGCAGCAGTGTTCTTAACAATAGATGAAATATTCTAAAACATGTACTGTGCACTTAGTTGAATAAATTTTACTGTATGAAGTTTGTCAAATTTAATAAATTATGCTGTGATACTTTAATCAGTTACACATTTTGTGTCCATTATCAGTGCCATTTAGATGATTACATGACACAGAGGAGTTCTGTTGCTAAAACATAGAAAGGTAAAATAAAAAGTGAAAATGCCAAAAAGATGTTATTTTCAACTTTTTAACTGCTCCATAACCCGAGCTGCAGTGGATATATTTGGGAAAGATAAAGAGAAGCTTTCTATCTATTTCTTTTCTATCTGGAAGTACTATCACATACAACTGAACTTCTTTTTTCCCCACTACCTAATCACCCATTTTTCATCCATTAACTACCACCAGCAAATCACCAATGTTCTAATTGATTAATTTACCTGCAAAGCCTGTTAAAGGTGATACAGTAACACCAAAGGTGAGGGAGAGGTAGGGAGAGAGGTGGTGAGGGGTTGGGGGAATAACTTGCTGTTTATAACTATATATCATGGTAAGTGAGCATTTGTTACTCCTAATTGCAGTAATGAGTTACAAATTGATGTTGATGAGCCTAATGAAGAAATTTTTTATATTTGGTGAAGTTTGATAATTCCAAATACTCTAGCGCCAACGTGGTTCATGTTGGATCAGTTAATATACAGGGACCAAAAGCTCTAAACCCAAGGGCATTACACTATTGTATTTGTGGCACAGTTCATTGCATGCTAGCCTTGGAGTAAGAAGCTTATATGTTCTAGCTCCATGTCAGAGACTTCAGCATAAATCCATTCTGACTGTGGGAAGCTTTCAGATGAGATGTTAAACCATAGACCCTGTTTGACTTCTCAGGTGATACTACCCTCACATTGCATTATTTCAAAGGGCAGAGCAACTATCCTTGAAGTTCTGGCCTATATTTATCTCTCAACAACATCACCAAAATATTATCTGGTCATTATTACTTTGCAGCAGTGCATAAATTGGTTGCTCTTATACAATGATGGTTACACTTCAAAATAGTACTTCATTGACTGTATTTTGGGATGCCCTATGGTTGTGAAAAGAGCTGTACTTATCCAAATCCTTCTTTATTTCAGGTTTTGCTTCAACTTAATCAAATACGTATGTGTTTCTGACATTTTAAAGTAAATTAAATAAACTTTTGCCGTTCTTATAAAATTGTTTATATTTAAAAATACTGATGTTTATGATAGGTTTGCTATTGGACAAGTACATGGGGCTGAATTTTCTCATTTTTAACTAAAGTGCTTCATGAGTAAGATACATAGTGCCTAGTCCACCATGGCTCACACAACAGGAACAGGTGTAGGCCATTCAGCCCATCAAGCATATCCTGCCATTCAATACTACCATAACTGATGCTTTTACAAACTCAATTCCAATAACCCTGTATTCCACTAGTAATCAAAGAATCTATCAATCTCTCCCTTGCACATACTCAAAGACCAAGCTTCCACAGCCCTCTGTGATAGAGAATTCCAAATGATCACATGCCTCTGCATAAAAAAAAATTGTCTTCAAATTAAGTTGCCATTAATTTTAAATAGTGCCCTCTGGTTGAAGGCTCCCCAACCACAGGAATCATCTTCCTTTCTTCACCTTATCATGTAACTGCCTTCTCAGGGATTCAGTACCTTCTGGCATTTATGCTGCTGGCACCATATTTGAAGCTTAGTTACACATCACTTCAGAAGATGTAACCCAGGAATTACCCTCCATAGTGTGGTGCTCAACCATCATAAATGATCTGGCACGGGCATTGTGCTAATGTCACAAGACTAGTTACCCAGAACTCCTGGCTAATATTCTCAGGATGTGGGTTTGAGTCATGAAATTTGAATTCAATAAAATCTGGAATTTGAAACTAAACTAGCCTAATGGCTTCAATGTAACCAATGTCAATTATCTTAAAAATCCATCTAATTCACTAAACCCTTTTAGGGAAGGAAATCTGCCATTATTACCTGAGGTAGCCATGATGTTACAGATTGAATAAAACTTTGGAGCTGCCTGCTTTTAAGAGACACAAAATGGCCAGAATTTAAAAGCCTGCTTCAGCATTTTGGCAAAACAACAGTGCCTTTGAGATGGGGTTATTCTGAGGCAAAAGGGAGCCTTATCTAAACAACAAGTTACAAGAGATATTCAAGGATGAACAGTTCATAGATTTGTAACAAACACATGCGTAAAAAGAAACTTTGAAGGATCATTAAATTACAAGTAATTAATTCCAGCCTCATTAAGGGAAGGATGTTGACAGCTAAAAAAGCAGCAGCTAAAGTTATCTTGCAGAAATTAGCTGCTTCTTTGAAATTATTTACAATAATAACAGGTTCTAGTTAAAGTTTTTTTAAAAATAATCACAGATAGATTTCAACGTAATTATGAAACTTTATAATGAAAGCACTCAGGGAAAACATTAGAGATGTCTGCAAATTTTATAACAATCAATTTTTTATAATATAAAAGACGGTAATGGAATTTGATAAAGATAGCAAGTACAATGAACAATAGAATTCAAGCAGTGCTTAGAGATAAGCAAATCAGAGATATGACCATAGGAGGACAGCCAGTAACTTTGGAATGCAACATTGAAAGATCCCTAGACCTAGAGATTACAATGATTGTTAAATATCATGAAAAACTGAAGGAACCTAGGGTTGTTTATAGGAGTGCCCATCATTGATCAGGAGTTTTAAGGACTGGTCCCAAAGTATGGAAGGTGAGGGCACAGTAACCACGCTGTGTGTGATCATCTGCAACACAAAATGTATGAAAATATTGTTTCTTCCTATAAAAATTAGTGTGACATTGATCACTCTTCTGATCTGAGTTGCGGTTTAAGAGAACAATTGTGTTCTCATGTTGATGCCAGATTCAGGGCAGATCCTTTGGCCCTCTCCCTGCATTAACCAGATTTTGTTTGAATAAAAGTCCGCTATGTGCCTGGTTCCTGTCTGCCTCCTGAGTCTTTGTTCAGCTTGAGGGATCTCGCTCCCACAGTGGCCATAGCACCTAATGTGAAGCCAGATCCAGAGCAATATGGTTGCCTCTTGACTGCCTGTTATAATGTCCTAGCAAGTCATTCAGTTATATCAAACTGCAACAAAGCCCAAGTAAAAGGAATTAAACCAAATAGACCATCTGGATCAACTTAGACATCAGAAGCAACAATGGCAAACTCAGCCCTGTTGCCTGCAAAGTCTTCCTAATGAACATTTGAGGGCATGTGGCAAACTTGGAAGAGCTGTTTCAGAGCAATAGCTGACATAGACATACTGATAGAATAATACCTTACAGACAATGTTGCAGACACCACTAGTCACCATCCCACTGAAGTCCTCCCACCAGAGGTAGCAGAACATTGGAATGCAATTTGGAAGGGTTCACTCTGGGAGTCTTTAACATTGACTTCAGGTTCCATGTAATTAGGACAAACATAGGCAAGGTAACCTCTTGCGGATTACCACTTACTGCACCTCCCCCCAAGCTGATGATGAAATACGACTCCGTATTGAACAATGCTTGGAGGGAGCATGGTGGGTGGCCGTAGCACAGAATCTACTCTGGGTAGGAGGACTTCAATGTCCCTTACCAACAGTGGCTTGGTGGTACTACTACTAACTGAACAAGCCAAGTCCTCAAGGACATGGCTGCTACACAGTCTGTAGCAGGCATTGAGGGAACCAACAAGTAAGAAAAACTTACTTGAGACAAATTGACCTGTTGCAGACATGTTAGTCTATGACAGTATAGTAGGAGTGACCATTGTAAAGTCCTTTTTGAGAAAAAGTGCCGGCTTCACATTGAGGATCCCTTTCATGGTATTATGTGGCACTACCACCGTTCTAAATAGTACAAACTTAAAACAGATCTAGCAATTCAAAACTAGGCATCTATGAGATGATGTGGATAATCACTAACAGTAGAATTGTATTTAAACCACAATCTGTAATCTTATCGCCTGGCATATCCCCCACCCTACCATCACCATCAAGCTAGGGCACCAACCCATTCAATGAAGAGTATGGAGGACACACCAGGAACAGCACCGAGTGTACCTAAAAAAAAAATGAGGTGTCAATCTCTACTGTTCTTTATTTTGTTGTGGTGAAGCTATAGCAATAGACAACTCATATGCAAACAGCAGAAACAGCATGCAGTAGACAGGGCTATGTGATCTCACAACCAAGTTGCAGACACCACTAGTCATCATCCTATTGAAGTCCTCCCATCAGAGGTAGCAGAATATTGGAATGCAATTGGGAAGGGGGTCACCTTGATAGTCCTTAACATGGACTTCTGACCCCATGTAATTACCATTTACAACACACCCCCAATCTGATGATGAAATACTACTCCATTTGAACAATGCTTGAAGGGAGCACTGTGGGTGTCCATGACACAGGATCAGACCCACATAAAAATACAAATTAGAGCAAATACATATTCAGCTTTTTGGGCTAGCTTTGCCATTGAATTATTCATCCAGTTGTGAATGATGGTGGACAATTAAACAACTAACAAGACGTGAAGGCTCCATAAATATCTTCATCCTCATCAATGGGGGACTTCAGCGCATCAGTGCACAAGACAAGACTGTAAGTATTTGCATCCAATTTTAGCCAGAAGTTTTGAGTGGATGCTCCATCTTGGCCTCCTCCTGACGTTCCCAGCATCACAGATGTCAAACTTCAACAAGAGAAAATCTAACCATGGTTCTTTGACATATAATAACTTTACCATCACAAATCTTCCACTATCAACATTCGGTGGTGGTGGTGGTGGGGGTGGGGTGGAGGGAGGGGTTACCATTGACAGGAAACTGAACTTGATCAGCTATGTAAATACCATGGCTACACAAGCAGGTCAGTGGCTCGGAATTCTGTGGCAAGTAACTTATCTCCTGCCTCCTCAATGCCGGTTCATTATTTATGAGGCACAAATCAGGACTTTGATAGAATACTCCTGACTTGCTTAGATAAGTGCAGCCACAGCACTCACCAAGCTTGACACCATCTAGGACAAAGCAGTTGGCTTGA